GTCCATCCTTCCATTTTTATATTTTTGTTTCTACTGCTTTTTATTTTGTTTCTCGCTGTGTATTTCAAAAGATGGCGGTTGTATTTTGTGTTTCAGCGGCAGGCTATTTGCATAACCAATCGACAGCAAATACGTTTGCAAGTCCCACCCCAAAGTACCGAAGTACCAAAGAAGTACCCCAACTGGTTTGGCACTTTCGGTACTCGAGATTTCGGTACTGGTACTCGACCGGAAGTCAATGGAAAAGCGAAAGTACTGAAAGTACCGTACCAAAAGTACTGTACTTTGTGCAGTGGAAAAGCGCCCTTGGTGAGGTAAGGCTTGGATGCAGCTGCTTGGCCTTGGAAACCCATTCCATGAAGTTTTCTATGCACTGTTCTTGAGCTAATCTGAAGGTCACGTGAAATTTGAAGGTCTGTAGCTATTGACTCTACAGACAGTTGGCAACTGCTGCACACTGTGCACCTTAGCATGCATTGTCCCCGCTCTGTGATTTTACGTAGTCTACCACTTCGTGGCTGAGTTGCTGTTATTCCCAATTGCTTCCACTTTGTTATAATACTACTAACAATTGACCATGGACTATTTAGTAGCGAGGAAATATTATGAATGAACTTGCATAGGTGGCATCCTATCAAGGTATCACGCTTGAATTCACATAGCTCTTGAGAGCGACTCATTCTTTCAGCAAACATTTGTAGAAGCAGTCTGCATGCCTCGGTGTTTGATTTTATACACCTGTGTCTATGGAAGTGATTAGAACACCTTATTTCAATGATTTGAAGGGGTGCTCCAAAACTTTTGGCAATACAGTGGTGCCTGTGGTTCACGAACTCAATCCGTTCCAGGAAAATGGTTGTGAACCAATTTGTATGCAAATCAAGGCAATTTTCCCCATAAGAAAGCATTGAAATTCGATTACTTCGTTCACAAGCTTACCAATAATAATTTTTGTTAATTTTCAAATTTTTATAGTAAAAACTTTAAAGAAAAACACAATATAGAGTGGCGACGGAGAAACCGATGTATCGCAGGAGCAGAAAGAGACTTGCTTGCCGGGGAAATCATGCTCTTTATTAACAGTCCTTAACTTTTGCATTGTAAAAACACAAGGAACTCATAAATCAAACAGGGAAACTAAGAACTGACAAAGAAATAAGGAAACAGAATCTAACACTGTGGGAATAACAGACAGGTAAAACACAACCACGTGGACAAAGCGAAAAACCAAAACCTGACCCTGACATTAATTCATTAAAAAAATAAACACTGAATATCAGTCGTATATCAGACATAATAATTTATTTTTCGGCAAGCTAACTCTAAATGCACATTTCCGTCTGACCTTAATTTGGATGTTTTTGTTCCTATTTCCTCCAAAGTGTTCTTTTGACTGTTCTGGACCATTGTAAAATGTGCAAATTTTTTCAAGGTTTTTTTTATGTTATACCTTTACAGATCCAAAAATATAAGTATAATTATGCATACAAATCTTTCACAACTACTTTGTTCATACAAACCCTTTATAAATGAGGCCCCAGGTGAATATTGTAGTACTAGCTTAGATACACCGGCCACAGCAATCATTATTATTCATTTTTAACCCTTTATATATTTTATATGAATTTTTATTGGAAAAAATTATGGTTTCTTTTAATAGCTTCAATGCTATGGGGATCCAGTGGAGCCAAACCAAGTGAAAACGGTGACTTTGAATCTTTGAATTTTTAACCCTTTTTGTATTTTATATAAATTTTTATTAGGGAAAAAGATTAAAATATTTAATTGTGATTAATCGCACAACTGTCCATAGTTAATCACAAATTAATCGCAAATTAAATCATGAATTTATTCAACATTTACCATTAAGGGATTTTTTCAGGTGTTAATATTCTTATCAATATTAGAGTTGGCAAGGCATGATTGCTTTTTGCAAATGTATGCATTTGTTATTGGAAATCAATTATCAACCAAAACAATGAACTTAAGACGTACGTATGTCTTCTATCATTAGAACAGCGATGGTCAACTACTTACCCCGGCCAGTCAGTGCAGTGACCCAGCCCCATTAGACCTGTATGTGGGCCATACAGCATGCAGGCAATGAGCGCAGGCTTCAGATAATGGAAACCAGCTGTAACTGCATGCCAGCCAGAACTGCCGCAAACAACAGTCTGCATGGCGAGTGTCAACTGGGCGGTTTGATCAGTCATTTTGTTACTGTCAGCAACGAATCCTTGAACGTCTGAATACTCGTAACGATTCGTTACAGCCTGGTATTCGTTACTTACTTACTCGTTACTACTCAAACCTACACTACTAATATATTCATTTGCTTTTGTTTAAAATGTCATAACCTACTGCTTACCAGGCCGCTGAAAATGTCGGTTCCAGCTAAATTTCTTGGTTTGAAAATTTGCCTCAATTGACTTTGTAATTGAATAGCTCTGTTCTAGGCTATGGTATAGGGTATGGTAATAGCCCTGTTATAGGCTATAGGAACTGTATTCTTAGTTCAAATTGTGAATTCAGTTATATCTCTTTTGGTTTTGGATCACTGGATCCCATAGCGTACAGGCTATTAAAAAAATCTCAAATAAAAGTCATATAAAACACTATAACATACAAAGGGGTTAAGGGGTATAGGAATCACTGTTTTGCACGTGTAAGGTACAGTAGTACTACAATTTGTACCTAGTTTGGATTACTTACTGGATCCCATGACCTAGAAGCTATTGGGGAAAAAGAAACTATATTTTCCCAATAAAAATTCATAGAAAATACACACTGGGTCCTATGAATTGGTATTTTGTTATTCAGCCAGTAATTTGTTCACAATCCCTAAATCACAGGTAAGCGATCATGTGCAGGGTTCTGAATTTGTACTTGTCGTCTTCCGACTGCTTACGCCGGCTAGCCTGAGTTACACATGTAACTCGGGTGTAGACTCAAACCCAGGTCCAAGAGGTGTGAAGCAATAGTGCTAACCACTGCACCACCATGCCACCCTCATATGAATGATATGTACTGCTAATTATTTATTTGTTTACTGTATCTAGTGTAAAAGCGGTATACAGAAAATAAAAAGTAGAACGATTTTATTTTAAGTTTTCTGTGAACAGATCTGTCCTATATTTTTTAGATGAGTCAAGATAAAAAAAACGTGACACGTAAAGGAATTGAGCCGAATTTAATTACAGTTATATGTACTCATCCCATCCAAGGTGTATCCCTGCTTTATGGTAGTGCCCTATGACAGTGTTTCCCATCCCGATCCTCAGGGACAGTCAACAGTCTGGGAGTCCCGAGGACCAGGTTGGAAAACACTAGCCTGTGCTACCTTGGACAGGCTCCAAGAATGTCTCTGACCATGTCCCATATAATTGACTAGAACATGGGTGGATGGATGGATGGATTACACATATGTTTTCTAAAAAAGATTACTGCTGTATATACCAATAACTCAGCTTCAGATCTTTCTCTCCAGAGATGGCTGCTCCCCCCCCACACCCCAAAAGACAGAAAACCTCTTAACGCTCATATTTGCATTGCTTGTAATTTCAAGGTATGGAAAATCATTAACTAATTTATTGGTTAATAGTTGTTCATATTGGGGCGGCATGGTGGTGCAGTGGTTAGCACTGTAGGCTCCCACCTCTGGGACCAGCATTTGAGTCTCCACCTGGGTTACATGTGTGGAGTTTGCATGTTCTCCCCATGTCGTCGTGGGGTTTCCTCCAGCTACTCCGGTTTCCCCCCACAGTTCAAAGACATGCTGAGGCTATATGGAGTTATTAAATTGCCCATAGGTGTGAATGGTGTGTGACTGTGCCTTGCGATGGGCTGGCTCCTCTCCCTGAGTTGTACACCACCTCATGCCCATAGCTTCCAGGATAGACTCTGGACCCCCTGTGACCCAGAAGGATAAACGGTTTGGAAAATGGATGGATGTAATTATTTGTATTGATATAGCGTTATCACAGCTAAAATTATATATAAAAACTCTACCCTTGATGCAGTTTTATCTCATGGATTTTTGTTTTGAGTAAAACTTTCCTGTAGTAAATGAAATATAATTTTCTGATATATCAAAATACATTTTTATAGGTAAAAATGAATAGAATCAGAAAGCCACATATACGAAAGATTTAAATTTCATAAATCCCATGTATTAGGTATAAGTTTTTAATCCAATAGGTTTTTTATCCAATAGGTTGCTAGAGACAGATATGGCATTTATTGCATTTCATTACAGGAAAAATCAGATAGAATCTTTTTTATTAAATACTTACAGTACATATAAATATAGATGTCACACACAACATACTCCACACATATATAGTTTTGATATATAATGTAATAAATGATTTGGGGTATACAACATCACATGCTATATGATTTCATCGATGGAAAACCAAAAAATACTGCACAGTTAATCATCATTTCAGTGAAATTATAAATGTAACAAAGGTTGTTACAGTCACAACTTGCGGGACAAAGGATTCGGGAGCAGGCAATTTGCCGAAAGAAAAAGGGTTTCTTTTAACCTAAACTAAACAAGGGCTGGAAAGCAAACAGGACCGCATGGGCTCACGAACATGACTGGACTAGGGATGATGAGACAAACCGGGACTAATATACAAAGAGGGGCAACAAACAATAGCCATGGCTCATCAGCACCACATGAGGGAGCAGACAGGAGGGTCAGGCAGACATGACAGGCAGGACGTAACAGTTACTAATTACTAATTAATCTGATGGTTAATATTATATAATACTGCCAAAAATGCAATTAAATAAATAAGGCACACCAATTATTCATTCAATTTAGTCAACGAATAAACATGCTAAGCAATTTAAGATAATATTGCATATAATAGTAATAAATACATACATCAAAATAAATCAATAAATAAAAATAAATTCTGCACAATCCCTGTGAATGGACTTTGTCACCTGCTATTGGTATTCTGTATTCATACAGTAAGACTCTGTAGCAACCAAATTGCTCTTGGCCTTTGGTCAGTTAGCACAATTTGCTAACCTCATACTCTCACACCTCTGTCAGCAGAGGTTCCTTAATGTATACATTTCGTACCTGCTGAAACTCATTCCCTTCATATGTAGGTAGAGTCCCATTCAGAGGAGTATACAGGCCTCCCAAAGCCAAGAAATCCTTTTCCTTATCATCCTCGTCATCTTCCTCCCACAAAGAGCACTTGACATGCTTGTAAGGTGATGGGTCAAAGGTCAAATTTGCCCTGTGATAGAAGTAGCTGAAGTTGGAGACGATGACAGGCACAGGCAGGGAGATGGTTAGCACCCCAGCAATGGCACACAGGGAGCCCACCAGCTTGCCCATTAGTGTTTCTGGGTACATGTCACCATAGCCAACTGTAGTCATGGTGACCACGGCCCACCAAAAAGAATAAGGAATGCTAAGAAAGGTTGTTTCTTCCTCATCCCCCTCTGCAAAGTAGATGGCACTAGAGAAAATGATGACTCCAATGAGTAGGAAAAAGACGAGCAGAACTAGCTCACGCATGCTGGCCTTCAGGGTCATGCCCAGGATCTGCAGACCCTTGGAGTGGCGGGAGAGTTTGAAGATCCGGAAGACTCGCACCAGCCTGACGATCTTGAAGAGGGCCAGTGTTGACTCCTCCTGCTCCCCCCCATCAGCTGCTTTGGAAATATCTGAGAACTGCTCAATGAAAAAAGGAAGAATGGAGCTGAAGTCGATCAGGTTCATGTAGTCCTTCAAAAACAAGATCTTGCTGGGTGAAGACAAGAAGCGCAGGACCAGTTCTATAGAGAACCAGCTGACGCATATGGTTTCTATCACGAAGAAGAAGTCCAAAGCTGACATAAACCCACTGAACTGGCTCGTGTCATTGTGGGCTCCTGATAGATCTTCCTGTGGAAACAATGAGAAAGAAAAATGGTAAAGGGGAAGAAGGGGAGTACAGAAGGCTGGAGGAAGGAATGGATACAGGAATGAACATTTAGAATCAATGTGGTTAAGGTCTAAACTGAAGGTAGTGCTCATTATAGTTACTAGGTAAGACTTTGGAACACAGATGGACTTTACTAGATGCATGTCTGAGGGTTCCTAAGCTACTATATAAATATACTGCATTAGTATGTATTCCTTTCTTCATAACTGATAAATACATCCATGTTAGCAAGACACTTAATTTAATGGTGTTATACTACATGGGTGTGGGTGAAAAGGATTATTGCCCATGATCTATGGTCACATACATGTAGAAGCATGTCAGAAAAATAGATATCAGCAAAACCTCAGTGGTACACTTTTTCCAAAATCAAGAAATACTTTTGTCCAAAATACTGCACAGAGAATTACACGGAGGGAGAAAAAAATACTTAAGAACAATGGGCCTCATTCACGAACCGTTCTTACGAACAAATTTGTTCTTAAACCCCTCGTATGCATTTTTTTTACAAAGATTCTGACATTCACCAATGTTTTCTTACCTGAATTTGTTCTTAGCTAAGAACAGAATCTACTGTATGCACACTCAAGACCATTCGTACGCAAATTTGAGTAATGAGCATGGCTTGTTCAAAATAATCGGTTATAGCAGTTTTGTTCATTCTACAGTTCATAAAAGGATAGTATTTGAATAATTTATAAAAATAAAATATAAAAAATAATTTTAAAGTGTAAAAATGATTTTCTTGGTAGTAACGGCAATCATGCAAATTATAAATAGGTCTGTTTCTGCGCATTAGTCTGGCGATAAAAATGGCATTTCTGTTACTCCTAGAACAGCTTGCCAATCGTGTCCTAAGAAGGGAACGCATGCTCGAAGATCATTTAGATTTACTTGCGGAGTCTGATGAGTACCTAATTTCAAGGTTTAGGCTACCAAGACCAGGTATAAACTTGTGCAATCAGTTATTGGAGCAGGACCAACCCAAACAACTACCCGTATCAATTAACAGTGTAAGAAATCCCAGCTGCCTCTTGTTAGCTCCCTTGCTGGTCCTGTATATACGTGCTTCCCTGTCCATTGTTCACAGTCATTGATGTTGTGTACCTTCCTGTTGCGTGTCCCCTTCCTAATTTCCAGTCCACCTGTTTTGATCTCTCGCAGTCCCATTCATTTTCAGTCTCGCATTCAAAAAACCCCCTATTGTTTTGCAACCACGCCTGCCCTTGAGTCCTTCATCCCACCCGACATGACAACACATGTATTATATGTTCTGTCAGGGTCAGCCCCTGTTGTCCCACCCCTGTGTCCCTTCCCCGTTTGGCCAGCAGGCATTGCTGGTCATCCCCTTCTTCATGTTAGTCTTTGTTCTCCCCTGTTTCCTGTCTGGCCACATGGCTCAATGTGTTGAGCATGTGGTTGCTTGTGATCCTTGTCCTGTGTTTGAATCCCACCTCCTCTGTTTTTGTATTTTGCTCCCTAGTGTTTCATTTGACTTTCTCCAGTTCTTGTGTCGGATTTTGTAGTTGGTTTTTGTTTTGTTCCTTGTGCTCCTGCTTGTGTCTTTACCTGTTTATAATTCCTTAGTGTTGGTTTCTTAGTTTCACCTGTCCTGTGTTAGTCTTATTACCCAGTTTTGGTTTCTGTATTTAAGTCCCTGCTTCTGTTCTGTTC